ATATTTATAGTTGGAAAGCTGATAATGCTAAGAGTTCATCGTTACCTTCTTTGCTGGTTGAACCGACAGATGGCCGGGATGCCGGAGCAGAGGCCGGAGTTGTGGCATTCTCCGCAGGCGTTGTTGCATTCGTCGCAGGGGACATAAGCCGTATGATGGGGTTGCCTTGGAAGAAGAGGCTAGACTCGTACCTTAAATTGCACCTCACTCCCTGATTCCTAGCTCCCATTCTCGCCATCGGGAGCCCCCTGCGACACCCCTTCCAAACACTGCCTGCAGTCGCTCGCCGACATGTCCGGCGTGTATTGCGCCAGGGCATATATAGTTGGAAACGCTAGCGTCACGTTGAACGCCTACCCAGTCGCGTACCTCTTCGTCGAGTTATACGCCGCCCAATCCGCCGTGCTGTCGAGCAACTCGTTCACCACCTTGTTGAACCGATCCGCTTCGTCGTTTACGGCGATCTCGTTTTCCAAGGCAGTCGTCGGGTCGTCGTCTGAGGTGCTGAGGAACTGCAGGTTGGAAAAGCGGAGGAGGCACTCGTCATACCAAACCACGGCATCCTTGTCGTAGGCACAGACCCAACACAAACCCTTACTCCACTTTTCATCGTAATGCCAGCACAAACCCTTTTCATCGTAATGCCAGCACAAACCCTTCGTTGACCTTTCTTTGAGTTCTTCTCGGGTTAGTCTGCGAGTGTTAGGATTTCGATTGGGAGTAGATGGGTTGGGCTGCCTGATGATCACTTGTTTATTGGCACCTCTGTTTCGACAATATTCCATACTGATTTTTTCCTCATGTAGGCATGCAAATGAAATCGCAGCTATCATAGTGCAGGGTTGACGAGCCTTAACTTCATATCGGATCTCTAGAATAAGCCTTTCAATAAATGTACCCAAAAGTTATAATTCTGATCAATCTTTAGTTTGATTTGATAATCTTTCAAACCTACTATGATATTCCAATACTGTAGAAGTCTGACGAATTTTGATGAGCTGACCATCAACATTATCATATTCGGATGGGCCAAAGAGAACAAGGAGCCCTCTTTTGAACTGTTCCCATGAAGGAACTTCGTGGCAAGTTTCAAACCAATCGTACCATTGGATTGTATCTCTATTGAGCTAGATTGAGGCTACTTCTACCTTGGATTCTTCTGGGGCTTTATGAAAAAAAAAAAAAAAATTCCGCCCAAGAGATCCAACTGGTCGAATCCCCCTCTTCCCATCATGAAAATTCTACCTTAATGTGTGAGTAGTGTGTGCCATAATCCTAGGGCATTTTTCTTGTACCTCCAAATCTGTTCAACGTAGAACTTGAGCTCCCATCATGTTGAAACCCGCTAAAGTGCTCCAACAAGCTCTTTTTGAAATCGTGATGGGTTTCTTATAGCCGATTCTCAATTCTGGTTTCCAATGCTTCAATTTGTGCTTTCACTAAGTTATTGGCAGCCATTGTATATGATTGCAAATCGGTAATCCCCAGTTCTTATTTCTGATGTTTGGTCAAGGGCATCTGGACTGTGGATGCGAAGCTGCTGAGGAAACGGACGCCAAGGGCAGTGCTGCGGTCACTGCGAGGAGGAAGAGGTGCTGCCATGTGTTTCAGCCACTGTGTGAGATGAGAGCGTCGGGGGCTGGAAGGCGACGATTGGAACTACTGTGACCTAAGGGATCGATCGCTAAACAGTTGGGTTGAAGCTGTGGTGATGGCAACCGACGACTGTGGCAGTGGAGGCAGAACAAGAGGGAGGTAGCATTGAAGTGGCCCAGGTTGAGGCTACAGTGGAGAATAGGAATCGACGGTGGCACTACGAGAAACGAGGGCAATCAATGATTTGCCATATTTCTGTCACCAGAGCAAGGGGGAGGCTGTGAGGATCATGGCTGGGTGGCGAGCGGCGTCGTCGCTGGCTGGGTAGTAGCGACGATAGTGGTGGCAACCAGTGTATGCAGTAGTAGAGGGATTGGCGACTGCGGCAGCAAAGGTGATTGCCATGTTTCTATCACCAAGGATGAAAAGCAAGGGGGAGCGACGGTTGGGAGGCGAGCGATGGTCGTCACACGGTGGCTGGCAATGGTGGTGGTTCGGTTAGGAGGCAACGACGCTATGACGTCCGATGGGGAAGAGAAGTGGTGGTGGCACGGTTGGGAACAAGGGCAATCGGCGAGTTACCCTATTTCGATCGCCACGAGGAGGGAGGCAACCGGCGACTACGGCTACAACCTAGGGGGGGCACGATGGCAGGGCGGTTAGGGCAGCGTCACCGACGGTATCAACAATGAAGGGGTGGTTCACTGGCTAGGAAACGACGGTCGCGATCCTTCTTGCTCGAGCAATTGCCCTATCATCAAAGCAAGCTTAGTTGATACTTCAAAATGAATTTTAAGGCTCATTAAGGGTGATTATGGTAAAACTTCAAACATTTCATTGTAAGTTCGAAATTTTGTCCATTAAAACCAATAAATCGGTGCAAGATTTTCTTTCTCGAGTGACTGAAATTGTTAGTCAAATAAAATCTTATGGTAAACATCTTCCTGTTCATATAATTGTTGCAAAAATTTTGAAAAGTTTAACTTTGAAATTTGATCATATTGTTGCCGTAATTGAGGAGTCAAAAGATTTATCTATATTTTCATTTGATGAACCAATGAGTTCCTTGGAAGCACATGAAGCAAGGTTGAACATGTCACTTGAGAAAAGTGAAGAAAAATATTTTAGGTTAAGGGGAGTCTTCTACTTCAAAAGAAGATAAAAAATCAGTAGGAAGAGGATGTGATAGAGAAGGATTTCATGGTAGAGGAAATTGAAGAGGAAGAGGAAGTGGACACTTTGATGGGCATGATGAACAAATGCAATCAAATTATGATAAAAAAATTATAAGGAATTCAATGTCACTATTATAAAAAATTTGGCCACATGGAGGAAAATGAAAAAAATAGTAAGTTATTTATGACTCATTCACAAGTTAATGATATCTCAAATGATATTTGATTTTTGGATAGTAGATGTTCTAATCATATGTCATGCATAAAATCAATGTTTAGAGATATTAATGAAACTCATAAGTTGAAAGTTAAACTTGGAGATAACAAGCAAATCCAAGTGGAAGGGAAAGGAACAATTGAGGTGAAGACAAATCAAGGGAAGGTAAAATATCTTGATAATGTTTTCTTGATATAGTCAAATTATTACATAACTTGTTGAGTGTTGGCCAATTGATAGATGATGGATTTTCAGTTATATTCGATGATGATTTATGAACTATTAAAGATAAAAAAATTAGTTTGATTATGGTAAATATTTGCATGACGCAAAACAAGATGTTTCCACTTGATATTTCAAATATTGAAAAATATGCACTTGTCACAACTCAAAAGAATGAGTCTAATTTATGACATTTAAGATATAGATACCTTAACATTAAGGGTTTAAGGTTGTTAAATAAAAAAGGAATGATTTTTAGATTGCCTAAAATTAATAGACTTGATGTACGTGAAGGATGCATTAATGACAAACAAAGTAAAAATTCATTTCCTATTGGAAAAGCATGGAGAGCATCTAATTGTCTTGAATTAATTCATGTTGACTTATGTGGACCTATGAATATAAAATCATTTGGTGAAAGTCAATATTTTCTATTGTTTACTGATGATTGTAGTCACATAAGTTGAGTATATTTTCCGAAACTAAAATATGAAACATTTGATAATTTTTAAAAATTAAAGGCACTTGTAAAAAGGTAAAGTGGTAGATATATAAAGACACTTCAGACAGATAGAGGTGGTGAATTTTTATCTAATGAGTTTATTTTTTTTGTGAAGAAAATAATATTTATAGAGAATTGATAACACCATATACACCGGAGCAAAATGGTGTTGCTGAACGTAAGAATTGAACTATCGTTGAAATGACAAGAAGGTTATTTAAAGGAAAACACCTTCTAAATTAGTTTGGGGCAGAAGTAATTGCAACAACAGTTTATTTGTTGAATATTTCACCAACAAAGTCTGTTATAAATCAAACTCATTTTGAGGCTGGGTATATATTGCTTATGCTATGATGAATTTACAAAATCATCACAAGTTTGATTAAAAAACTAAAAAATGTATCTTAATTGGTTATTCCTTACGATCCAAAGCATATTGATTATATAATTATGTTAGTAGTAAAGTTATTATTAACATAAATGTTGTGTTTGATGAAAGAGCAAGTTAAAATTGAGAGATAAATAAAGGTGGAATATAAATTCAGATTCCAACAGAACTAGATACTCCACAGAATCAAATGACAGATCCTACTCCAATAAGTTCATTGTCAACCTCACCTAATAGCAGTTTAAATTTTGATTTCTCAGATGAAACTCTTCCAAGAAATTTCAGATCACTAACAAAAATTTATGACTCAACATTTGCTTTGTTTATTTCATATCCTATAACTTTTAAGGAGCTAATGGATCTACCGAAAGAAAAGAAAGCTATTGGATTAAAATGGGTGTTCAAAACAAAGTTTAATGCGGATAGAAGTATCCAAAAGCATAAAGCTCAGCTTATAGCAAAAGGATATTCACAGCAACAATGTATTGATTTTGATGATACTTTTTCTCCAGTTGCTAGATTTGAAACCGTGAGAACTTTCTTGGCTTTAGCTGCTCACATGAGTTTGCATGTTTATCAATTTGATGTGAAATCTATGTTTTTAAATAGTGATTTACACGAAGAGATTTTTATTACTCAACCTGAATGTTTTTTTGTTAAAATACATGAAGAAAGGATGTATAAGCTAAGAAAAGTTCTTTATAGGCTTAAACAAGCTCTAAGGGCATGATACAGTAAAATTGATTATTATTTTCATCAAAATAAGTTTTAGAGGAGCATTAATGAACTTACTTTTTATCTAAAGAAGGAAGGTGAACATAATATTCTAATGGTTTTCCTTTTTGTTGATGATATTATATATATGGGTTCATCTAACTCTTTTGTAGCAAAATTTAAAAAATGCATGATGAATAAGTTTGAAATATCATATTTAAGCCTACAACACTATTTTCTTGGGTTGGAAGTGAAGTAAGGATCATAAAGAATTTTTATTTCATAAAGAAAGTATTCAATAAATCTACTCAAAAAATCTAACATGATTAATTGCAAAGCTATAACAACACCCATGAATGTAAATGAGAAATTGAAACTTGAAGATGGTATATATCTGACAAATGCAAGATACTATAGAAGTTTGGTTGGAGGTTTAATTTATATAACTCATACTCGACCAGATATTACCTTCTCTGTTGGTATAGTATCCAGGTTTATGCATAGCCCAAGTAAACATCATCTCGGAGCTATTAAAAAAATTCTGCGTTATATTGTTGGAACTACAGATTATGGTATTTGGTATTCTCATAATTTTAAATGTAAATTATTTGGTTTCACTGGTAGTGATTGGGTAGGAGCTTTAGATGATAGAAAGAGTACTTTAGGTAATATTTTTAGCCTCGGATCAAGAGCTATCTTGGAGTTCAAAAAAGCAAGCAACAACTACATTATCGACATCGAAAGCAGAATATATAGCCGTAACATCAGCAGCTTATCAAGAAATATGACTTAGAAGACTTCTTGAATATCTTCATCAAGAACAAAAAGAAACAACAGAAATATTTTGTGACAACAAAGCCACAATTACAATGACGAAGAATCCAACATTTCATTGAAGAACGAAGCATATAGAGATACGCTATCATTTCATCCGGGATCTTATAGCAAGTGGAACCATAGCAACGAAGTATTGTGAAATAGATGAACAAGTTACAGATATCTTCACCAAGTCGCTTCCAGTTCAAAAGCATGTCTATTTCATGTCACAAATTGGTGTATGTAACTATGAATGAAGATGGAGTGTTGAGAATTGATTCATAATAGTTATCTAGGCAGTTATCATGTTCTGGGTAGTTATATGCATGTGTTAAGAAGTGGCCCATGAGGTAGTTCCTACACTTAATCATGGGTGACATGATGGAGTGAGGTAGTTACCACTAGGTCCTATAAATATGACTATAGTTCATGAAACAAGATAAAGACAATACACTTGAAAATATTTTATAAATATTCTATGTCAATCTTCTTATTTTAAATATTACATCGATATTCTTAATCGAAAGGATTCTTTTTACTTACATTATAATATTCTGTTTTTATCATTTCCTTCCTCCATCCCCACGATCCCTCCCTTGGTTCCTTCTCCGTGGAGAATCCATGTCTCTCCGATGCGCAAAGGCTCGAAGAGCCGCCCGTCATGCCAAGAGAACAGGCAATGGTGGTGCCAGAGCCTTAGTAGTTCGTTGCCGTCGGCCAAGCATCTGCGGTGTTTCTTCGGGAGTTTTCTGGCTTTTGTTCTGACCAATTCCCTGTGCTCCTCGAAGCGAGCAGGAGACTTTTGCTTGTTGTGGACCTTCAGCACCCTCTTAATCCGACGGCAACTGCGCTCGGCCTTCGACCAGCCTGTTCTGCATATTATTTCTACTATCTTTCTGGAGGAGTCGCCTTCCACGAGTTCACTGACTAGATATGGAAGAGAATCGCAGTCAAGTCAGAGATATCTTCTTCGAGAAAAGATGGTGATGCGAGAAAGAAATGAAAAGAATTCTAGGAAACATGAAAAATCGTCAACCAGCTGGGTTTCAAGCCATGAAATAGGATTAACATAATCCCTGCATGCTTGGACAGATGGTGTGCCTCCAAACTCTCCCGCTTCACAAACTTCTCCCTAATTTTTTGGCAGGTCACAGCAGCAGAGGACTTCTGCAGATCTGTCTGATGAGAGAACCTTGGTGTTGAAGCAGCATGGTGAACATGATTTCCAAGCAAAGCAGTAGCGAGAGATGAAGCATTTCCGGTTGGAGTGCTGGTGGCCCTTCTACAAGAAGGGTTATACAGGAGCAGAGCAGAGAATAGTGCCGTCTTGCCTCATCCTCATGGCAGGCTCCGTATCCGGTACTTATCGTTGGCTCACGCCTGAACTGGTCGACAATGACCTCGTGGGCGAGTGGGTTTAGGAACTCGCTACTCCCTACGGACCTCGGACTGCAACTTGGTGGCTTGACTCGTGGGCGAGTGGGTTTAAGAACTCGCTACTCCCTATGGACCTCGGACTGCTAACTTGGTGGCTTGTCAAGGTGCTTCTTGTTCCCATGGATGATATCTCTGAGGTTGGCGATGGATCTCGAGCACCCAGACCATTCTGCTTTCCTTCTTAAGAGGGATCCAGGGTGGCTCCTGGCTTTTGGATCATGAACCTCTGACGGCTCGGGCCTACACTAGAGAGATCTCTTCTCTAAGGCAAACCAAACCGTTGGATGATGAGCGTCCACCTCCTCCCCTTTGTTTTTTTTATCCTTTTTTTCACTTTCACTTCAATATGATTCCATCGCTCTTAAACGAATAATCTTTATCCATGCTCCCTCCCATTGAGGAACACCATGGGTCTAATAAGTCAGTATTTAATTCGATCATATTGACTCATGAGAAATTATTTAGTATTGTTCAATTAAATATATATATATATACTTATTAGAGGCAAATTTTATTTGAGGATACGAAAATATCTATATCTAGTATCCAACTTAAAAAGTGTTTGTTATTAAGTCTGTTCATTGTGAGAAATAATATTTATGATCAGTTAGACATATCTATCTTAATTATATAAATTCAAAATGCTCAAGATATACTAGGGAAGGATTCTTTGTATAACCATCGATTAAATGAAAGAAAAATATTCTTTTGAATGTCATATCGAAGTGATGCATCACCCATACTAATTGGACTCGGTATATCAAATCACGCTTATCTAACAAACAACGCTGATAAATTCTCAACATATGTGCGAATTGATAAAATATTCTACTTTTGTGATGTCTTTTTATTACAACATTTATGCTGCTAAGGTTCTCATATTAAAATAATTTTGATGTAGTTTCTACGTGATTTGGATGCTTCCACAAGATGATCCAACTTGAAATCGAAAAAAAAATCAAATTAGATCTAGTCAACTTCTATATAGGATAATCGAAAACTGACCTAATACATGTATATATGATGTATTAAGGATTTGATTCGATAATGAATAAAATAATAGGACCATGGTGTTATTTTTCAGTTTAGATTAGGCAATATAATTTGGCACCAAAACGAAAGGAAAATAAGAGAAGTCCACAACATCCATGCGTCTCATATAATTTGACTAGTAATTCAGCAAATTTAAGTTTTTAAATTCCATTAATATTTAGAAGGAAGAGATATAATGAAAATTTTGATTGGATCTTTTCACTTGATAAACTTCAATCAGACCGAACGATATAAATTATTTTTAATATTAATTTTGTCATGACTTGAGTTTGATGAATTAACTGATCTATCAATTTTATTTAATCAAAATCACTTATCAAAATACTTAAATTGATAATAATATATTCACTAGACTCTCAATCTTTATATTATCCAATTTTAATATGAAATTAATCGGAATATTACAAACTTGATCGAACCAAACCCTCATAATTTTATGTTATATATATATATATATCCTAATTAATTTAAATTAGATATATAATTATTTAATTATTAATATAATACGAGAGTCAATATCAAATCTGTTGTATATTAATATTAATTAGTTTAACTTAGACTCATGGGATAAGATCTCCCGAGCATCTTTGGTAAGCATACCTGCAATAATGGTCGTCCTCATTTACACAACGAAATGAAATGAAAAGTGAAAGTATAGTTCCCATGGCTCACAAAACATGATTTCACTGGTCAGCTTTTCCCTCACGCAGCCAAAATCAACAGAACTCCCATTGCCAGACCCACGGCAAGATTCGCGCACTGCTTGCAACCGCGAGCTGCAGATGTCATGGAAGGCGCAACGTCTGGCGCGTGACTCATCGGTGGGAATGAAGCCGAAGGGGCTCTCGATGGTGCAACCATGGGAGGCTCGGAAGGCGAGTTAGATGTTGACTTGGGCGCTGCAGGAGGATAGTGGTGTTTCGGCGGTGGAGCTCCCACGGCGGTGGAGATGACGTCAACATCGAGCTTCATCCCCGCTGCACAGTGGCCCGGCACCCCGCAAATGAAGTATCTCTTGCCGGGGGCCGAAAGCTTGATCGCAGTGTTGCCGCCGGTGTGGGACTCCATTGGAGTGGTTGCAGAGCATGCGTCGTAGGCTGCCTTTGTCACCTCCAGCACGTCATGGGATGATGTATACGTGAAAACTGCGGAGACGAATGAAACCTTGTTTCAGAGACTACAAATTGATTGGCTTCATCAAATTGGATATCGTCTTATACAGAAAGCGCCATGTTGTTGGTTGCGAACTTACTTAGGCTGTCTCCAGGAGCAAATCTCTTGGTTGATGCCCATGCCTGCAAGTCCGTGATTGTATTCCATCCTCCATTCGGCCCTCCGACTGTGTACCTTGTGGCGATGGCTACATGAAGGAGAGCTGCTACTGTTACGATTGCTGCAACTGCTCGTGTTGCCGCCATCTTTAACTCGTAGGAATCGGACGCCAAGAAAGACGATATAAATAGGCGCTGCAAACAGAAAGACTTCGTAGAAGCACTTTAAACATGTTGGTACATGGACTTTTGATTTTAAATCATTTTAATTAGGTCATATTGGTATGTGGTGGACATGTCCTAAAGGTATGAACAGAACACTCTTCCAAATTACTGCATCATGCTTATTTAAACATATTGATTGCCAAATTCAAAGCAAAATGTTGGAATGCAACTCCGACATGGAAGCAACCGTCCAATGCAAAGTAACGTGGTAGGCATTACACTTCTGGTGCCTTTTTTTTATTTGATTATTCTACGTAGAACCCATCTACATGTTGACCTCATTCTTGCTAGTTGTTAGGAGATAATTAATTAACGTTGACTTCTCTTTTTTGCATTTTGGTTGATGATTCTTCTTCCTCTTTGGAAGACTGGTTGTTTGATGGGAAAAAATAAACTAAGATGATTAAAATTTTCACGCAGTTGTTGCTTTCCTGCGTCAGTAAAGCTTTATCACTGAAATGATTGAAATTATATACCTAATCTGAAATCAGAGACAATGTGAGAGGAGGAATATCGAGGCATTGCCGGCTCAAATCACCTATATTTTTTGGATTAGGGCCCAAATATGGATTGGCTCAATCAGCCCAACTCAGTTTGCAACAGTCCAAAGTATGCTGTATTAGATATGATAACAAGCAAATTCGAAAGGCAATGGCTAGCTAGCCATTATCTCTTCTTGAAATGAAAAGATGATCATAGTCAATATGTCGGATAAAATAATAAAATTATGAGTCGCATGACTGCCTTTAACATATGGGTTTGACTGTCATATCCGAAATGACACCTCGTGCCAAGGGTTCTTAGTTACGTGCTATGCCTGTGCAAAGAGTGCTCACTTTGTCTCTCTGACAAAATCTTTCTGCAAAAACACGGTTGCCGACTTATCTTACAATATATAAATCTTAGAATCTTGACCAGATTTAGATATAAAAAAGGAAGAAACTTAATCGGAAACTGCCACAACAGTAAAATTTACGAGTTAAGATTGTTGTTGCTTAATTGCACCTTAGTGGAGGGGAGAGTATGCTGGGAATGCAAGCGAGATTGTTCGATTAATCTCTTCTTTCTTAAATTTAATTATGTTTTTCTTCCCTCTTTATCAACGAACATACACGTTTCTTGGTCAGGAAAAACATGCCTTTTGATACTTACCCAAAAGACACGTAAGGAAGAAAGAAGTATTTTGCCGCTTGCATTAAATGGGTGTTTTGTCGAAATCATCTCTTGCTGGGGAGTCTTCGTTCGATAAGAAATTGTAGTGTTGTTGATCCGCGTCAGTGCGTCCTACGCGTGGAAACAAAGTCAACAAGACTCGCATCACTTCAATCACAGGAATCCCCTTCTAGTCCTTTTGACTCGGATCCCTCTACATTTGAACGAAGTGGCCGTTCAAAGGAACAACGAGCCATTGTCACGTATTCTTCGGTCATCTAACTTTATATGACCATCATTGTTATGAAATAAATTTCTCTGAACGTAACTTGTCATGGACCAATTCCACCCCACTGAGTAAATCATTTGTGTGCAACGTTTTCTAGTGTGTATTGCACGGTACGACAATGAAACAAACTACGGCGACCATGCAAATTAATCTTTGCTCCAAAGATATTATATATAGTAAGCTACATCTCTCCATGCTCTCTCCACGGCATCCCAAAAACAACGGAGGACAACCAGTTGCACGATGCATTCCTGGAATTACTTCCGGATACTTGCGCAGCTTCTCTTCCTCCTCTCCCTCTATAACGCACGCCACAATGCATCATTGGCAAGGTGTTCCACAGACTCCAACTTTACCACCAACAGCACCTACCATTCCAACCTCAACCTCCTCCTCCCATCCCTCACCTCGGCCACCGTCTCCACCGGCTCCGCGAACACGTCTGCAGGGCGTTCCCCAGACCAAGTCTTCGGCCTGGCGCGTTGCCAACTCGACGTGTCTCAAGACATATGCCAAGCTTGCCTCGCCACCGCCGTCGACACCCTCCGCAGTAGCTGCCCCTCCGCAAAAGATGCGGCCACTTGGGGAGATCGCTGCTTCCTTGCTTACTCCAACGCAACTTTCTCGAACGATAGCGATAAATTATCCTTCTACCAAATCTTATACAATGCAGGAGAAGTTTCGGAGACGTCAAGATTCGTGAATCTGGTGGAGGAATTGATGAATGCCCTCATCAACTGGGCTTCCTACAAGACCGACAGCATGTTCGCCATTGGAGAAGCCAACTTTACGAGCTTCACCAAAGTTTATGGATTGGTGCAGTGCACCAGGGATCAGTCTGATGATGACTGCTTTCTGTGTCTTCGGCAGTCGTTGGGTTTAATGCAGGGTTGTTGCGGGAAAAACCAGGGAGGGGTGGTGTTGAAGTACAGGTGCTACTTGAGGTACGAGACCTATTCATACTATAATATGTCAGTCCCCACATCCCCACTGCCTCCGCTGTCATCTGCACTCTCTTCAGCACCTCCGCCTGGAGCTACGGCCAATCCACCGCCTCCGCCTGCTGTGGTGGACTCCAACTCTTCGTCATCATCTGCGATAGATGCAGGCAAGTTACAGTACATAATCAAATTATGTACATGCATTAAATTACAAACGATTCATCCATATTTTCCTACCAATTGTTGCAAGTTGTACACAATTAAAATTTAATTATAAGAAGATGGAAATATTCATCAGATGTTGTTTATCGTTTTAATTCAGGAAAAAAGCAGAACTCTAAAATAGTAGTGGCTGTCGTCATCCCCATCCTCGGTGCTGTGATGCTTGTGACAGCGCTTTTGATTTTTTTGTGGAGGACGAAAATATTTTCCAGAAAGTCCAGTATGTAAATTTATTTTGACTCCATCTATGTTTTTTGTTTCTGATTCATTTAAATGTTAAAAATTCACCAAAACCAATTCATTTTTTTTAGTTTAACAACAAAATTTATAAAACGATCAGATGTTGGAGGAGCGAAAAGTGAAAAGGCAAACTCTCTGTTATTTGATTTTGAGACACTGAAGGTTGCAACCAACAACTTCTCGGACGCAAACAAGCTTGGAGAAGGGGGATTTGGACCGGTTTATAAGGTCAAATATATGGTTAAAGCCAGTGGTTTATCCTTTTTTGCAGTAAACACTGCATACTTTATGTCTACATTTAATTACAACAGTGCTTCATCTTACCCAAAATATGGAACAGGGCGTACTATCAGGTGGCCGGGAAATAGCTGTGAAAAGACTCGCAAGAAGCTCACAGCAAGGATTTGCAGAGCTAAGAAACGAGGTTGCATTTGTTGCTAAGCTTCAGCATAGAAATCTTGTGAGGCTCATCGGTTTTTGCTCGGAAGAAGAGAAGCTACTCGTCTATGAGTTCCTCCCAAACAGAAGCCTAGACAAAATTTTGTTTGGTACGATCCTCCTCCATCTTCTTAATTTTCTGAAAACAAAGCTTTTAATGAGATGCTAACGGATGTATTATCGAAGAGCTCCTATTAGTGTCCATGCCATTTCCTTTTACTGTAAGATTGCTAATGAACTCATTCAACCACGGTGAAGCAGATCCCACAAAATGTGGTCAACTAAACTGGGAAAGGCGCTACAAGATCATCGAAGGGATTGCAAGAGGACTCCTTTACCTTCATGAGGATTCCCGCCTAAGGATTATTCATCGAGATCTAAAACCCGGTAATATCTTGCTGGATCAGCACATGAACCCCAAGATATCTGACTTTGGTCTTTCAAAGCTGTTGGTCGACCAAGACAGATCAAAAGAGAGCGCTAGCCGAATAGTTGGAACAAAGTGAGTCAAAACTTTGAATTCGTTTAGTTCAAAAGCTCCTCCGTTGTTGTCCCCCCTGTTCATCTGTGGCATTGTGCAGCGGATACATTGCTCCAGAGTATGCTTTTCATCGGCACTTCTCGGACAAATCTGATGTGTACAGCTACGGAGTGTTGGTGCTTGAGATTATAACTGGTCGAAGAATCAGCGAGTTTCGTGGATCAGGTCATCGCGCAAACCTGCAGAGCTATGTAAGCATTTCCTCTCTTCACTCGACACTGAGATCGTGGCAATCTGTGATCGATGACTGC